TTGTTGTTTACTTGTTTTATGTTTTTTTATTTAAATAACATGTATGTTATATACACACTACTGATATGTTTTTATTTATTTATTTTTTTTGTAGATCGAGTCGGCCTTGGCAGCCCAGCTAGGCCTGGCCCGATCTGCTAGGCGGGCCAGCCCACTTATTTTGTAAAATATTTTAAAATGAAATATTTAAAATATTTTAAAATATTATTTAAAATATCCAATAAATAGTATTAATTTAAAATATTATTTAAAAATAAAATATTGTTGTAAAATATTATTAATAAACCCAATAAATAATATAAATTTAAACTATTTTTAATAAAATAAAATATTACTTTAAAATATTGTTAACAAAGCCCAGTAAACTATTATTAATAAAATAAGATATGAATTTAAAATACTATTAACAAAGTCCACTAGAGAGTATTAATTAAAATATGGAATATAAATTTAAACTCTTATTTTAAAAAATAAAATATTAATGTAAAATATTATTAACAAAACCTAATAAATAGTATTAATTTAACTATTTTTTAATAAAATAAAATATTAATTTAAAATATTGTTAACAAAGGCCAATAAATTATTATTAATAAAATAAAATTTAACAAAGTCCACTAGAAAGTATTAATTAAGCTATTATTTAAAAAAATAAAAATATGAATTTGAAATATTATTAACAAATACAATATAATAGTACGAATTTAAACTATTATGTTAAAAATAAAATATTGATTTGAAATTTTATTAACAAAGGCCCAATAAATAGTATTAATTTAAACTATTATTTAGAAAAATAAATTAGTAATTTAAAATATTATTAATTATTTTTAAACAAATAAAATAAACTAATGAAAAAAAAATGTTTTTAGAATATTAATTGTATAATAAGTATTTAAAAAAATTATGCTAGTTTAACACATTAAAATTATATAAAGAATTGAAATAATATTTTAATTATTTATTTAATGACACTTGAAATATATTTTAAAATAATTAATTAATAAACTATTATAACTACAAATTTTCTAAATTAAAATTTAAAATTAAAAATATTATTTAATCATAAAAGAGATATCTTGAAAGTAATATTTAATAGCCTTATAACTATCGTAAATCGAGATAAATGACATAAATTCATATTAGTTATAAATTTTTGGAATGTGTTGTATAAGTAGTTATATATTTAATTTGATTAAAATACAATTTTAACGTCATAACAATTAGACATATTTTTGTTGATTATTCATAAATATGGAAATTCCAGAACATCGTCGGTGGATGTATAGTAGCTTCACGCGGGTAGAAGGGGATTGAAACTGAAATTTATGAATGGTGTTGATGAGTTCCTCTCATATGTTGCCAACAACGGAATTCATAAGAGAGAGGATGCTTCGGTGTTCTTGTTGTAAATGTAATTGTTTGAAATATTAGAACCTAATACAATTAATATTCATTTTTGTCAAAAGGGATTTATGGAAGGGTATTGGTATCGGACTTATCATGGAGAGGAGCCCAATGTTGAAATAAGTAGGGCTTATGATATTAGTGATTCTCTGAGTAATCAACCTGATAATTTAAATAAATATTAGGAAATGATACATGATTCTAGTAAGCTTGAGTATTATGCTTATTTTGAGCAGAGAATGTAGGATGCTCCTAATGCTAATGCTCAAAAATTTTTTGACTTACTAATGCAGCAAATAGACCATTATGGCAAGAGTCTCGTCATTCTAAATTGTCTGTTGCAACTAGAATAATGAGTATTAAGTCTGATTGGAATGTTGTGCAGCAGTATGTTGATTTAATGGTTGAGCTTATGTGTAAAACGAATCCTTACGAGGATATTCGCATATCTCAATCTTATTACGAGGCTAAAAAATTGGTGTAAAAGTTAAGGTTGCAAGTTATAAAAATTTATTGTTGTGAGAATGGTTGTATGTTGTACTACGAAGATGATATTGATGAACTTTCATGTAAATTTTGTCAGAAACTAAGATATCGACCACGTAGAGTAAGAAATGGTTATTTCAAAAATGTGGCAGCAAAGTCAATGCATTATTTGCCACTTATTCTAAGAACGAGACTGCCTCAAAATGATGATGGTGGTGTGAGCAGTGGTCTCCCAACGCTCTCAATTTTTAATCAATTTGGTCGTAGTTCTGGAGCTTGTACAAATAGATATCTGTTAGAATAAGAAATGTATTCTGCAACTTTGCACGTTCTTCTAAATTGAAATGAAGTACAACCATTCATTGAGTAAGTTTTACTTCAATATTATTCGAGTTATTTTTATAACATTTATAGGTTGATAAATAATGTAGTGTTATTTAGTTTTTTATTTGTAGTTTTTTTTTTACATTTGAATGGCATAAGTCAAAAAGAAGCTGGGTCACGGATTCAAAATGAGTTTCTCGCCTGGTTTAAGACTTACGTAAGTATAGCATTTACACGTAAAGTTATGATATTATTTTATGTAGTTAACTTTCTCAATATATTATAAATAGGTGCATGATCCTACCAATGATGTCACAAATCCGCACTTACGTGATTTAGCATCGAGACTAAATTTAAGTGTGAGATTGTACCACAAGTATTTTGTGAATGGTTATAGGTTCCACACAGATGAATACTCCCGAGTAAGAAAAACTGTTAATAGTGGTGTATGTGTAAAAGGTGTTAACAATGTGGGAGAAATTAAATATTATGGTGTCCTTATGAAAGTTATAGAATTGGAATATCCACGCGAACCTATAAAAAAGGTTGTTTTATTTTTGTGTAAATGGTTTGATCCAAGAAGACCTCATGGTACCAGAATTCATCCCCTTTTGTCGCAAGATTCACTTAATTTCATGGAGAAAATTATGTTATCCAAAGGATCAAAGGAGTTTGGGATTGAAGCACCTACAAGTCATGAATGAGGCTTGTATTATGAAATTGAGCTGAAATGTGAAATCTGGCCTAGAGGCTCTTTGGATAACGGTTTTAAAAGGGAAGTATGGAAAAAGGGAGGATTCAACTGTTTCCATAGCATGTAAGCCTTCGGATTTGAAAGGGTGGAAAGATATTGTTCAGGGTTGGCAAATGTTATCCAAGTTTGAGTTTTGAAGGATAGGAGATGGCTCAAGAGTGGATTTCTGGAAAGATAAATGGGTTAGGCCTGATTGTAAGCTTGATTTGTGCAGGAAGGAGGAAAGGTAGCCTTATGGGGAGGTATAAAGTAGCTGACATAGTGGATGATAATGGAGATTGGAATTGGGTTAAATTAAGGGATCTCTTTCAACCTGCTGGTTTGTGCAAACTTCAAGCAAAACCCCCTCCTTCCAAGGATACTGAACTGGACATGATAGCTTGGTCGGGGAGAGCAATGGGATATTCAGCGCTAAAAGTGCTTACAAATTACTTCAAGAAGAGTACCCGGTGCTTAATTCTTTGGGGTAGAAGGTAATTTGAAAATTAAAGGTCTCAGAAAGGGTGAGGTTGTTTGTTTGGTTTGTCTTGCATGGGAAGATTTTAGCCAATCTTTGAAGATCCAAGTGGAGTAATTGTAGCCCTAATTGCTTTGAGTGTAATGCTAAGGAGGAGACGATGATTCACGTTTTAGGGATTGTCTTGTAGCAGCTCATGTGCGGAATAAGTTAGTGCCTACAACCCATAGAGCCATTTTCTTTATCATGGAGGGCAAATAGTGGTGTTTGACTAATCTCTAGGTGAAAGTAGAATGAGGGCTGGTCTGAGCTTTGGGCACTAGTTGTTTGGTGCCTTTGGAATTAGAGGAACAAGAGTATTTTTGATGAGGATTTTAAGAGGCTATTGAATCCTTGCAAGGCTATTAAGAGGTGCCAACTAACTAATAGAAAGCTGAGGTCTAATCGGCAGGCTCATCAAACCTCTCTAGGAAGGTTTATGGGGGGGGGGGGGGGATGGGAATTTGGCCCCTTGAATTTCGAATTTTGCCCCATTGAACATTTCCTGTAATTTATTTTTCTCTCTTAAAACTTTATAATATACTATTTATCTTCGTAAATACTAACACTATTAATTTATCATTGTATTTATTCTCCAAATTTTCTAATTTTAAATACCGAATATTTTAAATATTATTATTAAAATAATTAAAATAATTTACTTTTAATTTTTAAGAATTTAAGTTAATATGTTATGACTAATAATAAATATTACTAAATATATTTAATTTTAAAAATTAAATTCAAATATATTTAAATTTTTAAAATTAATTTAGACTATTTGTACAACTTAACTAAATAAAAAAACACTAACTATAACTAAATAATTTAAATTTAATAGAAATTATTCAAAGATGTGTTGAAACCTAATGGTATTTAGTCTACTTGATAGATAACTCCTATGTTCTAGTTACAATATCCATTCTTGTTTATGTATAATAGAAATTAAATTTTTTGGCACTATTACGTAGCATATAGAAAATGTAAATTTTTAAATTTCAAATTATAGTCTTTGAATAATTTCTATTAAATTTAAATTATTTATTTATGATTGGTAATTTTTTATTTAATTAAGCCGAGCAAATAGTTTAAATTAATTTTGTAAATTCGACTATGTTTTAATTTAATATCTAAAACTTAATACATTTAATAATATTTATTATCAATTATAATATATTAACTTAAATTTTTTAAATTTTAACAATTAAATATTCTAATGATAATATTTAAAATATTTAATATTTAAAATTGAAGAGTTTAGGGGAAGTAAATATAATGTTGAGTTAACAATGTTAATATTTAAGAAAGTAAGTGTTACATTATAAAGTTCACGAGATAAATAAGATAAATAAGAAAGTTTAAGATGGTAAAATAATTTTTACCCAAAAATTCATAAAAATTATTGCAAAAAGGGGAAAAAAATGAGTGCAAACTTCCTATATGTAAACAAAATACATACTTTTGTTTTTTTTTTTTTTTTTTGCACAAACTACAAATTTACAACAAGTACTAAAATCATCCACCATACACATTTTAAGATTGACAATTTAACCATTTAGTGACTCCGGCACTTAACGTTCCCCAAACGGGTATTGTCAGGTGGCCTATTAGCATTTCTACCTTCCTGATCTCTTTGATCATCTTGATTTTTGCAGCTACATCAAAATTTTCCAACTTAACATCAAATGCCATTTTCTTTGCCTTCTTTTCAGCCTCTGCAGATCCTGAGGATGGCCCTGCCTATGAACCCAAGTCCACGCCTTCTACCGAGATTGGTTGCATCTTAGGATGTGTGAGTCTCACCTCGAGTGTTGGACCAATTTGGTTACACTCTTTAGTGGGTAGGGCTGCAATACATTCTGTAAACTGAATGATTTTGTCAAAAGCTGGTGGTCTAGGCCCATATGGTTCATAGAAGGTAGGATATTTGTACTTTCTGGCTTTGCTTTGGGATCTCTAGAAACAAAGGTAGGTTGGAATGATCAAGATTGTAATGGTCCATCTATTTTAGGAAGAGAGCAACCATGATGAATGGTTTCTAACCAGAGCCATGAACTTCATGGTATTGTTACTTAATGGAATGATGACTCATGAAGTTTAAGGGGTCGGACATAATCTACCTACTGTATTTATTAAGCACTTGTTGCGTAGATGTTCTACTGGAACATTAATTCTGATTGCAATCAGAAAGGAGCTGCCTGCAAAAAACAAACAGGAAATAAGGCAAACAATTAATTCCTTTCCAAAATTGACATATCAAATCTTACGCATATATCAAGATTCAAGAACTAGAAATCTAGAAATAATTATTTCTCTACTTTGATGAAATTAAATAGATATAAAAGATTGATACCATAAATCAGATTACAATCAAGTGCAAGAATGTTGTCTGAACCAGAGAGGAGACAGACTGTCCAGATGAAAGCCAAAGTACGTGTCTATCTCTAGTCTTACCCTTTCAGCACCACTGACCAATATAAAAACATGTTAAAGTGCTTGTAAGAAGCTAACAGTTGACAGACATGAAATTTCTACATAAATATCCATGCTTCTTTTCCATGTGTATGCTTGCTCTCCTAACATGTGAAACCATGTAACATGTTAAAGTCATCTTATGTCTTTTTAATAGGGGAAGTCATCATTGTAGGCTTGTAAATTTGCCTTACTGTATGGGAGAGTCTCTCGACGAAGTAGGAACACAACCCACTTAATCAAGTATGAATTGGGTTTGGGTTTAGATTTTAGATACAATCATGGTTATGCAGAAATGGGTTAGGTATCAGATAGTGATATAGACTCTATATTGGATCTGGATCTAGATGATAGTTCTAAGTTTCGGTTTAAAGGTTTTGAGATGGTTATTGAATTGTAGGTCCAAATCTAATTAAACTAAATTTGTAATTGAGAATATTGGTTTTGGATTTGTCTTAGGATTGTGATATTGGACACGAGATTCATTAATGAATATGGATATGGATTTAGATTTAAGTTTCGAATATGATTTTTGTGCAAAAACTTGTATTTTGAATCTAGATAGTGAATTAAGTTCTGGATTTGGATCTTGGGATCTAAACTTAGTTTTAAATTTGGATTCTGTATATTAATTTAAGTAGTAGATCTGAATCAATAGATTTAGATTAGATTTCAAAGAAAGACTTGAACATTTATTAATAATAATAATAATAATAATAACAACAATAATAATATAATATATTAAAATTGCACTTATATTAGCATTCTAATTTTGGAGCTAATGAGTTGAATTCATGGTTTTAAAAACCGGGCCAGACCGGCCGATCAGACGGTAGGACTGCCGACCGGTCCTCTTTTCGATCCAGTTTTCATGAAAAACCGGTACAATGTAAAAAACCGTTCCAGATTTGCCAAACCGCGTGAGCCGCCAGTCAGACCGCTTGAACCGGTAAACCGGTTGCAGTTTTCATGAACTGAACGGTTCGTGTTTTGCCCTAAAATTAATAAAACTTCCATCCTCTCTCTCTCCCTCGACATACCTCACCCCGATCTCCAAAGGCCAAAATCCCTAAACTCCCCTACCGCCGCCGTGGATGAAACGAAGCCCGTCATCGTCTTGCTGTCGTCGCCGTGCCTGTGAGTAACGCCAACACTGGACGCTAACACCTTGCTGTTGTGCCCAATTGCTCTCTCTTCATATAGTTTCTCCTACTGTCCTACAACTACAGAACAAAACATACAGACCAAAGAAGGTATTGCAATTGTAGTCGTCCTTTTTATTTTTATTTTTTTTTACAGTTCTTATGTTTGCCTATTGTTCTGGGTTGTTTATTTTATTTCTCAGTGAGGTCGATTATAGTATAGGATTGATCATTTTTGCAATTGATCGTGTCTTGCGATTACATTACAGTATACATTTCTGGGTTGCGATTGGTCATTTTTGGTATAGGATTTGTTTCTTTTGTTGGCCTCTGGATATGCTTTTGGTAATCCTAGAATGCTAGTTTCCTTTATGATGTGGAATCTACTATGTGAGATACATGACTTATATAGACTTTCAATTTCAACAACTCCGGCTGTTAATAACTTAATATAATTCTACTTCATAAAGCAAAGCCAGATTAAGGTATTCACAAACCTTAATAATCCAATGGATAGGGAAACTATCACTTGCAAGAATTGACTTTTGTTATCTCAAACGTGGTATGATATGTGCTTAAAAATGTGGTACAATAGGATCAAGCTTCTAAAAAGTATATGCTACTAGAGTTGCTGTCTATATAAGAACAATCAAATTTTAATAAAATCTATAGTAGTTTATCTTCAAGCTAATTATAGGAAGACATATTTCTAGCAACATTAACCTTGCCTTGTCCCTTTTGCACTCACAAGAGTTTGATTACTTGAGATTTTAATTCATTTTATTTGATGCTCTTCATCCTAAGAAAAGAATTTGAGAAAATAGATGGAAAAAAGCTTTGGGATAACTAACATTAGTGTTTTGGAGTGATGGTTTGCCATGCTTTGCCTCATGCGTACCAATGTGTGTTTTGTTGGGGTGCTATTAGATTCAAATCATAATTTTATATCAATTTTTGATCACATTCAAATTAAAATTTAATTTATTAACAATACTAATCAAATATACTAATATCATATAAGCATTTTTTACTTAATTAATTCTTGTTCACGTTTCTTGGTATCCCTGTATAATTCATTTTGTTCTATTATGGGCCAGCCAACCTATTATTAATTCACGTACAGGCAAGCCCATATTACCTGCTAGTGATTTCAGGTAATATTACAATTAACCCACAAGATGATACGTGGACAATACCTGTAAACAATTATCAAAAATTTAACTAATTACTTGAATGCTCACAAGATCATAATGCCCAGCTACTTCCTCTAGAACCTCCATCTAACTCTAACCCAATCAATCTATTTCTGTCCCAATCCCATCTGATTATAGATGATCTCAATAAACATTAAAAGTTTAACAAGTACTCAAAATACAAACCATCCAATAATCATCTCAATATCTCAAACCTGAAACAGCACATCAAACATAGTCTGAAATTTCTTTGAGCAGTGCAAATATGAGACTAATAGCATGATTTTACACCCTAAATACATACTGCTATTGATATATTTTGCTGCAAATTGATGTTGTATTGTATTCTACTCTAAATACATGTTCTATAGCACTGTAAATACATGTTGTATTCCACAATTTTAGCTACAAATTGATGTCAAATGCTTTATTACTGTCCTTTTATTAGATAAGATCATGGAGTCCAGTTCTAGGCAATGTTCTACTGGTGCTTCCCATAGCTTAACCCCTTCAATCCGTAGGAAAATGATATTGCTTGGAATCATGTTTTATTACAAGTTGCTAGTGATGGTTCTAAAAGTCTTAGTTGTATGTATTGTGGATTAGTGACTAAAAGGGGTGGTATACATAGAATGAAACAACATCTAGCTGGGAAAAAGAGTGACATTAGGCCTTGTAAATCGGTTCCAATTGATGTTAGATACCAAATGGACAAATCACTTAAAGGTGCTATTGAAAAGAAAGACAAGTACAAGATAAGTTTGAGGTTGAAAACCCATATGGTTCTTATGATTCACAGACCAAAGACAAGTCCCCTGAAATGGTAGAACTTGATGAAACAGAGGGACAAACACTTAGAAGTATAGCAAAAATTTAGAATTTTTTTGCTCCTAGGACCACTCATGGCTCCCAACCATCCTTGAAAAGTGTATTAGCATCAAAGGAAGCTATACACAATGCTCACATGGCCATAGCTAAATTTTTTATGACATTTGCATTCCAATAAATGCTACAAATTCTACCTATTTTCAAGCTATGTTTGATGCAGCACTTGCTATTGGCCCGGGATTCAAAGTCCCATCATATTATGATCTTTGCATTCCCCTATTAAGAGATGGAAAGAAAGAGGTTGAGTTGTATGTTGAAAGTCTTAGAAAAGTTTGGGAAGAAAGCGGTTGCACAATCATGGGTGACGATTGGTCTGATGGTAGACATAGGTCAATAATCAATTTTCTGGTTTATTGCCCACGTGGGACTATGTTTTTGAAATTTGTTGATGCATCTAATGCTGTTAAAGATGCACAAATGTTGTTTGGCTTGTTTCGAGAAGTAATTGAATGGGTTGGGATGAAAAATGTTGTGCATATTGTGACTGATAATGGCTCAAATTATGCGGCTGCGGGAAGATTGATTAGTGATGAATATCCTAGTATAAATTGGTCTCCTTGTGCAGCACATTGTTTGAATTTGTTGATGAAAGATATAGCTGAAAGAGGAGATGTGATAGAGCTTGCCAAGAAAGCTTCAAAGATATCCAATTTTGTTTACAATCATACTTATTGGTTATGTTGGTTAAGGAAAAGGCCTGATTGGATTGAGATTGTCCATCCAGGACAAACAAGGTTTGCAACTACTTTTCTTACTTTGCAAAGTATATGTCAACATATGCATGATTTAAAAGCTTTAGTGACTTGCAAAGAATTCAATGAATCAAGACTTTATAACGAAAGTAAAACAAAAGAAGTTGTTGGCATAGTTTTGGATAGACAATTTTGGAATGATTGCAATGTGATTGTGAAGATTGTGGAGCCTTTGATGCGGTTTTTGCGTATTGTTGATGGGGATATTAAACCTTCTGTGGATATGTTTATGAGGGCATGCTTCGTGTTCGCAAAAGAATTAAAGCGATTTTTAAGAATAAAAAAGAGTTATATGGTGAATACGTAAAGTTAATTGATCAAAGATGGGATAAGCATTTGAGGAAGAGTATCCACGCTGCCGCATATTGGTTAAACCCTGCTTTTCAATATGAAAAATCATCTTTTTGCCAAAAGCCCGAAATTATGAATGGAGTGTATGATATGATTGAGTCCAAAGGCACAGAAAAACAAACAAAATATATTGATAAAATAAAGATTTTCTGAGATCGATTAGAGAGTTTTGGACGAGAACTTGCCATTAAATCATGCAAGACTACTCAATCGGGTACGTGTTTTATTTTATTTATATCTTATTTAATTGATAATTTAATAGTCATATTATATACATTGAAATTTGACATGCATATGATATTTTTTCTATTTCTTTGATTGCCAAGATGAATGGTGGAGATTATTTGGCCATAGTACACCAAACTTGCAGAAGTTGGCAATTAGAATTCTTGGACAAACAAGTAGTTCTTCTGGTTGTGAACGGAACTAGTGCGTCTTTGAGTGGATACATTCCAAGAGAAGAAATCGACTTGAACATCAAAGGTTGAATGATCTTGTATATGTTCACTACAACATGAAGTTAAAGTAAAAGTAAGCTACTTATTTGAATATATATAAATATTATCATTTTAAATATAAGTAAAAATTATATTAATGTTTTTATTTTCAGATTTGCAACAAAAGAAAAGGATTATGACCCAATTGACTATGAAAGTATAGACAAAACTGATTTTTGGGTTGTGGAGGAGGAAGAAGAGCCTTTTGTTAGTCGTGAAGAATTGGAGAAAGCACTTTATGAGAATCTAGAAGCGCCAAAACCTAATAAAAAACGTCGCCGTCTCGTAGAGGGTAAGTTTGAAAAATAATTTATTCAAAATATAATTTATAGTTTTAAAAGTACACATGTTCACTTTAGTGGAATAAATTCTTATAATTTTTCTTTAATTTTTGTATAGTTGATAAAGATGATCAACAATCATTTGGTGCTTCCAAGAAGATTTAGATTTGACTTCTTTTGAAAACATGATTGGTGGTGGCACCAATCTACATGATGTTGATATTGTTGTTGGTAGTGGCATGAATTTACATGATGTTGGAGTTGGTACTAGTTTTAAAATTGATAATAATATAGAAGTAGAAGACAATGATGATGAATGGCTTTGATAGTTTTGTTTGTTTAGTTACTTAAACTATGAACATGTGATGAGTATTTGAATTTGTGAACTTGTGAGTTTTGTAAACTTAAATTTGAATTTGGATGCTTTATATTTATCTTGAATATGATGAATGATTTATTATTTCTATTTTATATGAATGTTGTTTTTTTTTTTTTTTTAATTTGTTGTCCATGTTATTTGGAGTAGTGAAGACCTACATGATCAATGGGGTTTGAAATTATGCTATTAGATTACATATGAAATAGGTAGGAACTCTTAGGAACTTTTGGGAGGCTAATATTTAGTTTGTGCTAATTTGAAATGCATAAGAACTTGCACGCTGTACTTGAGAGTTATAATATTGTTTTTTTTTATTTTTTATAATATATATTTATATAAATTATATAATTATGACGTCACGGTTCAATTACGGTTCAATTAACGATTGGACTGGTGAACTGTGAACCGGTAATTTTTCCGGTTCGATGAACGGTCTGGTTTTTCAAACCTTGGTTGAATTTGGATTTATGAATTTAGATTGAATCTTTGAATTTGGACTCTGGATTTTAAGGTACAAATATAAAATTTAATTTTTCTTTAAGAGAAGTAAATAATAATATTACACACATCTAAAAATAATAGTGAGATAAATTTTAATATTTTTGTTTACAATCAGTCTAAATCTCTGAATTTTATAAATAATATAAAATATATTTATCTTAATTTTGTCTTTTATCGCAATGCTAAGTATGCTTGGCGCGTAATTCAACTTTAATCCATTCCAATTCCTTCCAAATTAAATAACAAAACCTAACAAATAATGGGCCCACTTGGATGTTGACTTCTTCCCACCGCTTCCAACTTGCAGTCCTCAGGCGATGCATGCGGCTGTTATAGCTCGTTCGCTGAGTCTTCAAAATTTGCTTCCGAAAATGCCCTTCTTGTATCAAAAGTAATAGATTAATTGTTATTTTATACAAAAAAAAAACTATAATATTAGAAGAAAATGATCAGATTAAAAATATAATATTTAATATTAGAAAAATATTAATGCTAAAAGTGCAAATATATCTTTGCTTATTCCTTTTGGAACCTCGTTAACAGTCCATTGGTCATTAAATAAGTTTTCCAAATCTCTAAAGTGAAAAAATTTTCCCTTACCCTAAATTAAAACCGTAAATAAATCAGATTTAAATCAAATTTGACATATCTGAATTTGAATTAAATTAATAATTATTATATGTAAATTTGATTTAAAATTTTATAAAATTTATATTTATTAATCATATTCAAATGTAATAAACAATCCGAAATCTCATAAAAAAATCTAATTTAATAAAAAAATAATTATCTTTTATATTTAATTCTCTCGATTTTATTTTATTAATCATATTAATTCTTAAATTTTTAATTTTTTTAATTTTGTCCCTACAATTTTAAATTTATTAACATAATATAAATAAGAATTATTAATTTAATTAAAAATATTATTAAATTTCAAATTCTGAACTTTAATAGATCAGATTGCTTAATTATATACCTGATTTACTTATTTCAAATTACATATATTTATAATCACATTTAATGCATAGAATATTTTAATCAAATTCAAATTTTTAATTCAAATTAGAATTCAACCCCTCATATTCTGTGCTCAAACTAATTAATCTATGAATGATAGGTAAAGTTTATAAATAAGTGGTTAACTCAACTCCTTACTTCTAATTATTTAATACTTTTTCTATTAATTACTACTTTTTAACAAATTAAAGAGAAATATTTAGGTCACTTGAAAACTACTTATTGGTAATTTATTTTATCAATATATACGAAATTTGTCTTACATATAGAAATTTCATTTAGTTATTTTGACATAATCTAAGTTATGCGTTCATCTATGTAGAAATATATTATATATGAATATATAGCTTCACAACCAAAAGCTGTAATATGCACAGCCTTGGGGAGAGAGAGCACAGAGAAATGGGGGGAGAAGTTAAGGTAGTGATGCTTCCATTTTTGGCTTTCGGCCATCTTATTCCCTTCCACCACCTGGCCACGGCGTTGGCCAAAGCCGGTGTCCACGTCATCTTCGTTTCAACCCCAAACAATATCCGGAGACTCCCTAAGCTTCCCCAGGAAATTGTCAATATGATTGAATTTATCCAGTTTCCCTTGCCTGAATCCCTTCTGGCGAGCTTCTTGTCGGTGCCGAGGCCACCGTCGACCTTCCATATGACCAAATCCAACACCTAAAGTCCGCCTATGATCTACTTGTCCAACCCTGCAGGAGCCTCGTAGCCGACCGGTCACCAAACTGGATCATCGCCGATGTTATTCCCCATTGGGCTGCAGATGTCGCTCGTGATCTCGACATCCCTCTCATCCTTTTCAACGTGTTTACTGCCGCCACCTTAGTGTTTCTGGGGCCCCTGAGTACCTAACTGGCGATGGCCAAAAGACTTACAGGTCATTGCCAGAATCCTTCGAGGCGCCCCCGCGGTGGGTGGATTTCCCCTCATCTGTGGCTTTTCGGAATCATGAAGCCGTCGCTGTCCATGCTGGACTTTATGGTAAGAATGCCTCTGGCATTGCAGACGCCCAGCGGCTGGCCAAGTTACTCCAAGCGAGCCAGGCAATCGCGGTCCGTAGCTGTAAAGAGATTGAAAATGAGTATTTGAACCTATACGTCAAGATCACCAACAAGCCGGTCATTCCGGTGGGGCTGCTCCTTCCAGATGATCAATCGGAGAAGAGAGAAATCACTGACGAGAAATGGATAGAGATCTTCAAATGGTTGGACGAACAGGCACCCAAGTCCGTCGTGTTTGTGGGGTTTGGAAGTGAGTTAAAATTAACAAGAGAACAAATCCATGAGATAGCTTACGGACTTGAACTGTCAGAAGTATCATTTCTATGGGCACTGAGAGAAACCACTTGGGCCACAGACGGCAATGACCTCCTGCCACTGGGATTCAATCATCGAACCTCTGAGAAGGGAAGAGTTTGCATTGGGTGGGCTCCACAAAGGGAAATTCTAGCACACCCTTCAATTGGAGGGACGTTGTTCCATTCCGGTTGGGGAACCATCATGGAGGCATTGATGCACGGCCACCGTCTGATAGCTATGCCATTCATCCTGGACCAGGGCTTGAACGCGCGGTTATTGGTAGATAAAGGGTTGGCAATAGAGGTGGAGAGAGAGGAAGACGGGTCGTTCAACCGAAACGGTGTGGCACAATGTCTTCGGCGAGCCATGGAGGGGGCCGAGGGGGAGAGATTGAAGGTTAGGGCAGAGGAAGCTGCCGCAATTTTCAGTGATCGGAAGTTGCAAGATCAGTACGTTGCTGACTTCGTGGACTATCTCAGAAAAGGGCCCAGGAAGTAAGAATTCAGTTTAGTTGTTGTTCGAGGTTAAGCAGGTTGTGTGAAATGGTAACTCGCGATAAAAATAAAAAGGAAGTGTGATTGGTTTCTTGCCATTTGACATCCTGAATAGCTAAAACACTTATATATATATATATATATATATATATTACATACACTTATATAGATATAAAATATATATAATGTATGTGAGTATATAATTTATTATATTGTGTAATATACATTAAAATTTATTATAATATAATAATATATATGTAATATATATAAGATAATATATTAATATATAATATTATAAATATTTATATTTTTTATTTCTTAAAAAATATAGGGTAATATAGTAATTGTATAAATAAGTAATTAATGAGATAGGATCTAGATTCCTATTCCAAAATATATATTAAATATAACTTTTTAAAATTTTCATCATTATTCACGTTCACATTCTATCAAAAAATTTCATCGTTACATACTCATTTTAAAGATTAAGTACAAACACAAGTGTTTCTGTGAACTCTCTAGAGAAAAAGACATTATTACCCACAAAATGAACCATCTCAATAATTAAATGAATGAAGGCATGAAAGGAAAAACGAAAATGTTTAGATGAAAAGTGCTTAATTAAGAAAATAAGTACTTTCACTTCATTTAGAAATTCGCAATAATGTAAAACTAATTATAAAAGGCACTAATAAGTTATAACAATCCAAAAATAAGTTAGAAAAGTAACATTTATCTTCTCTATTTATTATATGTGACTATATTTTCTTATTAATAAATTTTTATTACATTGTCTGAAAGTAGTGTAAAATAGATAAATAGTGAAATACCTCAAACACTTTACACCATGTTAGTTAACCTTAAAAAGCGTTTTTTATATTTCTTATTTTATTCTTTTATTATTTAGTTGAATATAAAAGCTAATAGCTAAAAAGTTTTTTGAGCACATAATTTTACTTTTCTTTGCTATTTTTTTATTTTTCTTTCAATATTATGAATATAACAGACTGAAATGACAAAAAAATAATAATAATAAGTTTTTACTTTTAGAGAGATCAAATTAAATACATTATTTTTAAATAAATTTAAAATGCAAAAATTAGCATATATCTATCGAATATAATAAACATAATATTATAGACATCTAAAAATAATATTAAGATAAGTTTTAATAATTTTATTTATAATTATTCTTATCATTAACGCTGCATGTGGTTGATATACGTGGCACGTAATTCAACTTGACCCACGTCCAAGGAATAATTAGCTCCACCACTTCTGTATTTAATTTATTCCCATTTCTTTTGAATTAAATGGCAAAACCTAATACATAAGGTGCCCCACATGGATATTTACTTCTTACTATTGTTGTCGCGTTGCAGTCTGTCACGCTGTGCACGCGGTTGTCTTGGCACGGTGGGTTTCACGGGCGGCACCATGACATGATTGATATTTTTTATTTTATTTTTCTATGCAATAATTATTTCATAGTATTGTTTCAACATCAAATTCACGGACTTAACATATTCTTTCAGGTCTTCAAAATTTAATTCCAAAAATGCCTTTCTTATGTGGAAAGCAATAGATTAATTGTTATTTTATTGAAAAAAATAATGTAATATTATCTTTAAGAAAGGGACAGATTAAAAAATACAATGTTTAATATTAGAAAAATATTAATGTTAAACAAGTGGCAAATATATATTTCTTTCTTTTCTTGGAACCTAATTAATAATCCACTAATCATATTAAATATTCTATCCATATCTCTAAGGAGTCATTTATGAAGTTGGATTTGATAAGATAGAAAAATACAATATTTAGATAAAATATCATAATCGTATAATATTGTAACGACCCGAGACTACTGGTCCTAACAATTTGTTGAGCCTGAACCACTGGTCCAAAATATTCAAACCTAAGTTGTTCAGTAGTAGTCTCTAATCTCTTATAAGCTCAAGATCTCTCCCGTGTTTTGTCGATATAAGATTTGTCTCAGGGTGTCACACACACTCACCCTCCTTTGGGGTGTCACATACACCCCTTTTTTGGGGGACTCAGTGTCCTAATCACGGTTGTATAGAATACAGGATACACCATCGAAAACTCAGATATCGATAAATCATTGTATCGATCTAATCCGTCATTTCGAATGAGTCTCGAAGATTGAGTTTTTATTTCTTCCCCAAATCTGATAGCACTCTTTTAAGGATGAAACTTTTAAGAATACTAATCACCTACTACAATTCCAGACTTCTGATGGCATTTATCAACGTAACTTTTCACTAGCTCTAATCAACTAAGATTTGCTGTTTGATCAATTTTGCCTCATCCACTTAATCTTGTACTAAGTCTAGTTCTAGAATTTTAACTTTTTCTCTCTCAAATCATCGTATCAAAAATTTATAACTTCTTCTAGATAATACCTTAAAAGGTTCCATCACGATACTTGTCTAATAAAATACATCAGTGGTCAGTGGTGAGTGATTACTTTAATGATCACTTAAATCCATAACTAAGTTTTACATTAAAGTCCACAATATTCCAATAAGCAAAATAGTTGTACCTTTCTATCATTTACTTTAATCAGGCAAGACTTATTCTTATCTAACCTAGGCATGCTCCGTTACAAGGGTGGTCACAAAAAATTTCCTTATCAAATAATGTCTAATGGTATAAAGATACACAAGTAAACTGATTCAAATTCACACGATAATCTAGACCGGGAGGGGTCAAGCACAAATATATGCTTTGACTAGACAAGATGATCAGGAGGCCACCGTGGGGGCGACAGGTATGAAAAATATTGTGCTGGGATGGGTCAGGCACGAATGTATGCTTTGACTAGACAAGACGATCAAGAGGCCACCGTGGGGGCAATAGGTATGAAAAATCATGTGCCTTGTTATGTGTGGATTATCGTGTGAATTTGAATCAATTTACTTGTGTATCTTTATACCATTAGGCATTATTTGATAAGGAATTTTTTTATGACCACCCATGTAAGGGAGCATGCCTAGGTTAGATGAGAATAAGTCATGCCTGATTAAAGTAAATGATAGAAAGGTACAGCTATTCTGCTTATTGGAATATTGTGGACTTTAATGTAAAACTTAGTTATGGATTTCAGTGATAATTGAAGTAATCACTCACCATTGACCACTGATGTATTTTATTAGATAAGTATTGTGATGGAACCTTTTGAGGTATCATTTGGAAGAAGTTATAAATTTTTGATATGATGATTTGAGAGAGAAAAAGTTAAAATTCTAGAACTAGACTTAGTACAAGATTCAGTGGATGAGGCAAAAATGATCAAATAGCAAATCTTAGTTGATTAGAGCTGGTGAAAAGTTATGTTGATAAATGCCATCAGAAGTCTAAAATTGTAGTGGGTGATTAGTATTCTTAAGAGTTTCATCCTTAAAAGAGTGTCATCAGATTTGGGGAAGAAATAAAAACTCAGTCTTTGAGACTCATTCGAGATGATGGAGTAGATCGGTACAGTGATTTATCAATATCTGAGTTTTCGATGGTGCATCCTGTATTCCATACAATCATGATTCGAAATTAGTTACCAGATTTGTCGTATGTTTTAGTACCATAAGAGGTGCAGTTAAATGTGGACTTATCATGAGAAGAGGAACTTCTAGATATTGTTGACCGACAAATTAAGAAATCAAAAAATAAAGAAATTGCATATGTTAAAGTCTTATTGGGGTGTCATTTAACATAAAAAGTGAAATGGGAGTCGAAAGACCCCACTTGTTTGAGACATAAGATTAGTTAATATTTTGTTATTTAAATTCGGGGACCGAATTTCTTTTAAAGGGGGAAGATTGTAAAACTCCAGGGCTAGAGTTAAATTTAGAAAATCTATAAGGACTAAAAATATATATATATAATGAATAAATAATGAAATAATCCGAACGTCTGTAATGTTCAGACGTTCAAATTTGAAAATTTAATCTTAATTAATTTTTAAATGTTTGTAATTAAAATTGAATTATAAAGTTGATCGATTGTTAAGAACCTACAATAGCCCCAAGTCAATTTTGAAAATAAGGTTGTGAAATTTCTAAAATTTTGAAAACTTCAACTGATCGGTCTATCGGCCATAGACGGGGTTCTCCAAGCTTCAATTCAGCAAATTGATTGGCCTAAAAGACAAATTGAAGAAGCTACATGAGTCACCTAGTAGCCTCAAGCTTGAATCTACAAGTTAATTGAGGTAAAAATCCAAATTTCATTTCCAGTTTGTTGATTTTGGTTGTTCGAATTTTTCTCGGTTTTACGGGTTTAGAAGATGATCCCGCTGGGACTTGGGTTGACCCAATTAGAAGGCCTCCGGGCTAAAAATATTAAATGGTTGACTTGGGCCAGCCCAATAGGGCTCTGGCCCAAATAGAAATAAAGAGATTGGGCCATGGCCAGTGGGCCAGGCCCACCCCCCCAAAAAAAAAAAGAAAAAAAATTAGAAAATTAGGAAATAATATTTATATAATTTTTAGAAAACTTATGGGATGAAAAGCCATGGAAATAATAATTTTAGATTTCCAAATAATGGAAAAAAATAAAAGAAAAAGATAGAAAATGGAGGAAAATAAAAGGAAGACATAGAAAATAGAAAATGACCGGTTCGGTGGTTTTTACACCGGTTTTTGGCTAGTTCAAGGTACCAAAATGAAGGAAATTAAATTGTTTACTTGGTTTGTAGCCAGTTCAAGGGTAAACCGATTGATTCAATGGTGAACCGGCCGGTCCAATATTGAATGAAATTAAGAAAAATTAGAAAAATCACTGGTTTAATTTAATTATATCCAGTTCAGGGTCAATCTTAACTGGTTTAGTGGTTCTAAGTTTGGTTCATTGACGTTCATGGCCAATTCAATATATTTCAAAGCCGGTTCAACGGATTTAAGACCAGTTCAATGAGTTTTACGACTGGTTTAATGGATTTAAGGCCGGTTTAATGGTTTTGAGGCCAGTTTAGTAGGTTTTTAT